AAACAAGAAAGGTCTCAAATAACAACCTAACCCTACACCTAAAGGAGCTCGAGAAAGAACAGCAAATAAAGCCTAAACCCAGCAGGAGAAGAGAAATAGTAAAGATCAGAGCAGAAATCAATGAAATAGAAACCAAAAGAACAGTAGAACAGATCAACAAAACTAGGAGCTGGTTCTTTGAAAGAATTCATAAGATTGATAAACCCCTGGCCAGACTTATCAAAAAGAAAAGAGAAAGGACCCAAATAAATAAAATCATGAATGAAAGGAGAGATCACAACCACCACCAAAGAAATACAAACAATTATAAGAACATATTATGAGAAACTATATGCCAGCAAATTAGATAATCTGGAAGAAATGCATGCATTCCTAGAGACGTATAAACTACCAAAACTGAACCAGGAAGAAATAGAAAACCTGAACAGACCCATAACCACTAAGAAAATTGAAGCAGTAATCAAAAATCTCCCAACGAACAAGAGCCCAGGGCCAGATGGCTTCCCAAGGGAATTTTACCAAGCGTTTAAAGACTTAATACCTATTCTTCTGAGCTGTTTCAAAGAATAGAATTGGAAGGAAAACTTCCAAACTCATTTAATGAGGCCAGCATTACTTTGATCCCCAAACCAGAAAAACACCCCATCAAAAAGGAGAACTACAGACCAATATCCCTAACGAACATGGATGCAAAAATTCTCACCAAAATACTAGCCAATAGGATCCAACAGTACATTAAAATAATTATTCACCACAACCAAGTGGGATTTATTCCTGGGCTGCAAGATTGGTTCAACATCCACAAATCAATCAATGTGATACAATACATTAATGAAAGAAAGAACAAGAACCATATGATCCTCTCAATAGATGCAGAAATAGCATTTGACAAAGTACAGCATCCTTTCTTGATTAAAACTCTTCAGAGTGTAGGGACAGAGGGTACATACCTCAATATCATAAAAGCCATCTATGAAAAGCTCACAGCGAATATCATCCTCAGTGGGGAAACATAGAGAGCTTTTCCCCTAAGGTCAGGAACACGGCAGGGATGTCCACTATCACCACTGCTATTCAACATAGTACTAGAAGTCCTAGCCACAGCAATCAGACAACAAAAAGAAATAAAAGGCATCCGAATCGGCAAAGAAGTGAAACTCTCACACTTTGCAGATGATATGATACTTCATGTGGAAAACCCAAAAGACTCCACCCCAAAACTGCTAGAACTCATACAGGAATTCAGTAAAGTGGCAGGATAGAAAATCAATGCACAGGAATTAGTTGCATTTATATACACCAACAAGGCAGAAAGAAGAGAAATTAAGGAGTCAATCCCATTTACAATTGCACCCAAAACCAAAAGATACTTAGGAATAAATCTAACCAAAGAGGCAAAGGATCTGTACTCAGAAAACTATAGAATACTCATGAAAGAAATTGAGGAAGACACAATGAAATGGAAAAAGGTTCCATGCTCATGGATTGGAAGAACAAATATTGTGAAGATGTCAGTGCTACCTAGAGCAATCTACACATTTAATGTAATCCCCATCAAAATACCATCAACTATTTTCAAAGAAATGGAACAAATAATCCTAAAATTTGTATGGAACCAAAAAAGACCCTGCATAGCCAGAGGAATGTTGAAAAAGAAAAGCAAAGCTGGTGGCATCACAATTCCGAACTTCAAGATCTATTACAAAGTTGCAATCATCAAGACAGTATGGTACTGGCACAAAAATAGACACACAGATCAATGGAACAGAATAGAGAGCCCAGAAATGGACCCTCAACTCTATGGTCAAGTAATCTTCGACAAAGCAGGAAAGAATGTCCAATGGAAAAAAGTCTTCAACAAATGGTGTTGGGAAAATTAGACAGCCACATGCAGAAGAATGAAACTGGACCATTTCCTTACACCACACACAAAAATAGACTCAAAATGGTTGAAAGGCCTAAATGTGAGACAGGAGTCCATCAAAATCTTATAGAAGAACACAGGCAGCAACCTCTTCAACCTCAGCTGTAGCAACTTCTTCCTAGAAACATCGCCAAAGGCAAAGGAAGCAAGGGCAAAAATGACCTATTGGGACTTCATCAAGATAAAAAGCTTTTGCACAGCAAAAGAAACAGTCTACAAAACCAAAAGACAACCGACAGAATGGGAGAAGATATTTGTAAATGACATATCAGATAAAGGGCTAGTATCCAAAATCTATAAAGAACTTATCAAATTCAGCACCCAAAGAACAAATGATCCAATCAAGAAATGGGCAGAAGATATGAAGACACATTTTTCCAAAGAAGATATCCAAATGGCCAACAGACACATGAAAAAGTGCTCAACATTGCTCAGCATCAGGGAAATCCAAATCAAAACCTCAATGAGATACCACCTCACACCAGTCAGAATGGCTAAAATTAACAAGTCAGGAAACAACAGATGTTAGTGCGGATGCAGAGAAAGGGGAACCCTCCTACACTGGTGGTGGGAATGCAAGCTGGTGCAGCCACTCTGGAAAACAGTATGGAGGTTCTTCAAAAAGTTGAAAATAGAGCTACCCTACAATCCAGCAATTGCACTACTGGGTATTTACCCCAAAGATACAAATGTAGGGATCCGAAGGGGTACGTGCACCCCGATGTTTATAGCAGCAATGTCCACAATAGCCAAACTGTGGAAAGAGCCAAGATGTTCATCAACAGATGAAATCAATAAAGAAGAGGTGGTATATATATACAATGGAATATTATGCAGCAATCAAAAGGAATGAGATCTTGCCATTTGGAACGACGTGGATAGAACTGGAAGGTGTTATGCTGAGCGAAGTAAGTCAATCAGAGAAAGACATGTATCATATGACCTCACTGATATGAGGAATTCTTTTTTTTTTTTTAAAGATTTTATTTATTTATTTGACAGAGAGATAGAGAGAGAGCACAAATAGGCAAAGAAGCAGGCAGATGGAGAGGGAGAAGCAGGCTCCCTGCAGAGCAGGGAGCCCGATGCGGGACTATGAGGAACTCTTAATCTCAGGAAACAAACGAGGGTTGCTAGAGTGGTGGCGGGTGGGAGGGATGGGGTGGCTGGGTGATAGACATTGGGGAGGGTATGTGCTATGGTGAGTGCTGTGAATTGTGGAAGACTGATGAATCATAGACCTGTACCTCTCAAACAAATAATACAATATATGTTAAAAAAAAAAAAAGATAGTAGGAAGGGAAAAATGAAGGGGGGAAATCGGACGGGGAGACGAACCATGAGAGACTATGGACTCTGAGAAACAAACTGAGGGTTCTAGAGGGGAGGGGGGTGGGGGGATGGGTTAGCCTGGGATGGGTATTAAAGAGGGCACGTACTGAATGGAGCACTGGGTGTTATACACAAACAATGAATCATGGAACACTACATCAAAAACTAATGATGTAATGAATGGTGATTAACATAATAAAATAAAATTAAAAAACAAAACAAAACAAAAAAACCAAAACAGAAACCTACCAAGAAAGTCTCTACTCTTGATCTTTTCCCATGGTAACAGAATTTATTAAATAATTTATTAAAGTGTTTTGGGTGCCCCTTAGGGATAAAGCAGCAGTGGCCCAGTGTGACTAAAATACTTAAAGGGGCGCCTGGGTGTCTCAGTCCTTAAGCGTCTGCGTTCGGCTCAGGTCATGAAACCAGAGTCCTGGGATTGAGCCGGGTTCCCTGCTCAGCGGGGAGCCTGCTTCTCTCTCTCCCACTCCCCCTGCTTGTGTTCCCTCTCTTGCTGTGTCTTTCTCTGTCAAATAAATAAATAAATAAATAAATAAATAAATAAATAAATAAATAAAATCTTAAAAAAAATAAAGGCATTTGCCACATTTGTTAGAAATCTGAATTCTGAATTGCATATTCTAGACAAGCAAAGCTCTCCTAAAGTTGTTTTTGCTTCATTTAAAAAATATTTTACACTCTAGCCAACTGCCTGTCAATTCGTCTAGCCTTTAGTTCCCCAGAGTCTGTACCAGGTAAAACGGTAAAGTCAGACTTTTATTTTATTGGATTGCTCCTCAAAGGTAGCTTCTATTTCTTTGTGCCTTTTAAGTAAATGTGTGAGACTTCAAGGGTTAAGTCAAAGGGCACCTGCAGTTACATTAATGTAAGCCTTGCTATCAGCCCCATCACAAGTGGGTGTGATGCAAAACATTCCTGCGGAAGGAAGATGCAGGGCAGGGTTAGAGAGGCTGAAGGGAAGGAGGACTGAATTTCACCAGAGGAGCTCTACTTAATTTTTTTGAAAAAAGGGTATTGCTGTGAAAAGCCTTGACTTGTCAGAAATAAATGTGGTCCTTTAACATGATTATTACATTATTCAATTTTCTTAAAGTTTGAGTGTGGCTTCAGTGAAAAGTATAGTATTTACATTCTTATATCTTATTCTTTAAGTTCCTGAAAATAAGGTGTGTAACTCACCACCACTTCCTTTACTTGAGCCACAAATACGAAACCATGGCCTCAAAAGTCTAGCCTGGTTGCCTCAGCTGATGTTGCTACATTAATTCATGAAGATGAACTAAGGAAGACTCACTTTGGTTATAGTGTTACACATGATGTTGAACTAGGTTTTACCAAAACAATGAAGGCTTTTAAAAAACTACTCACAACACTTTAAAATGTGTACTAATACATGGATTTTATACTAAATATACCTAACCTAAATACCAAAATAAATAGTTATTTTGCTCCTGTGTACATAATTTGTGCACAAACATTAACTAAAGCTCAAAAAAAGCAAAAACAATGAAACAACATGCATACAGACTTATTTAGTAGCTTGAGACTGAAGAGTGGGAGAATGGAAGGTTTAATAATACACTTTAGACTAATTCTTGGTGAGTTGGTAGAGGAGAGGGTTACAAAACAAGAAGTTTAGATCATCTTAGAAGCCATACTACTACATTAGAAAATGAAAGACGCTTTCTGAACATAGGTCAAAGAACTAAGAAAAACATACTTTAATAGCATCCTTGGCATCTACCACAGCAAGGTCTCGAAGGGCCCAAGCAATCTGCCTTTTGTAGAAATCTCCTTTATCAGATTTCTTGACTTTGACCATCTTCACCTGCACAGGGCGTTCAGTTGTCACTGTTGAGTAAAACACACTTTCATCAGAAATACTCATTTATTTTTCATCCATTCATCCACTCATTGCAAATACAGCTGTCAGGTGCATGTACATGACACTAAAACAGGAGTAGTATTTCCTAATATCTGCCATGACTGAGGAATGCTCAGAGCATCAAAGGGAACATCTAAGTCAGATAACAGGGTCAGAGGCAGGTTCCTTGTGAAGTAAAGCTGCAGACCAGTTTTGAAAGAATAGTATGAGCTCTAAAGAATGACTGATATATGTGAAGCCAAAGGGGCTTGAAAGAGCCTAACACCATTTCAGAACCACGCTAAGTGGTTCAGTATGGATTGTTCGTGCAATAGAGTGGATGGAAATGAAGTTACAAAAAAAGATGAAAGTTCAGATCACAAAGGGCCTTTGGGGTTGTGGAGGTGCTCTTAGAGGATTTTAATTAGGGAAATGACATGCTCTAATTTGTTTCTAAAAATCACTGTCAGCAGAATAGTGGATGGATTGAACACCAGTACATTTAAAAATTTAGATGAAGTGGTTGAATCTCTAAAAAATGTAACTTACCAAAACTGACTTAAGAACAGAAAATACAGAAAATTCTATAAGCATTAAAGAAATTGCATTAGTAAGTGAAAAATCTCTTCCCCAAAACCTAGTCCAACACAGTTTTACTGGTATCTTTTGCCAAGTTTTCAAGGAAACATCCCAAACATAAAAAACTATTCCACTGTACAGAAAACAAGGGAACACTCCCAACTTACTTTATTGCTTTGGTTGTAAGGACAAAGATAGTGTACAAAAGAAAATTATAGGACCATGCCATTAATGAACATGGGTGAAAAATCTTATAACTACAAATATACAAATAACTACAAACAAATACGGCAATGGCAAGCTTAATCCAAGGCCATATACAAAAGATAGTATTTCATTTCACCAATTCTGAGATGTACATTTTTTCCCCACATTTTAACATCTCTGAAATCAGAATATGTCCTAACAATTGATGCAATATCATAGCATTTTTTTAAGTGGTACATAAAATAATATACTGTATAATTGATGGCATATGGTACATCATGATTGAGTTAGGTTATCCCAAGAACTCAATTTATCATTTGAAAAGCCAAGTACAATTACTCACCACACTAATAAATTAAGGAAGTATATGATAATCTCAGTGATTTGAAAAAGCATTTGATAAATGACATATCAGATAAAGGGCTAGTATCCAAAATCTATAAAGAACTTATCAAACTCAACACCCAAAGAACAAATGATCCAATCAAGAAATGGGCAGAAGATATGAAGACACATTTTTCCAAAGAAGACATCCAAATGGCCAACAGACACATGAAAAAGTGCTCAACATCGCTCGGCATCAGGGAAATCCAAATCAAAACCTCAATGAGATACCACCTCACACCAGTCAGAATGGCTAAAATTAACAAGTCAGGAAACGACAGATGTTGGCGGGGATGCGGAGAAAGGGGAACCCTCCTACACTGGTGGTGGGAATGCAAGCTGGTGCAGCCACTCTGGAAAACAGTATGGAGGTTCTTCAAAAAGTTGAAAATAGAGCTACCCTACAATCCAGCAATTGCACTACTGGGTATTTACCCCAAAGATACAAATGTAGGGATCCGAAGGGGTACGTGCACCCCGATGTTTATAGCAGCAATGTCCACAATAGCCAAACTGTGGAAAGAGCCAAGATGTCCATCAACAGATGAATGGATAAAGAAGATGTGGTATATATACACAATGGAATATTATGCAGCCATCAAAAGGAATGAGATCTTGCCATTTGCAATGACGTGGATGGAACTGGAGGGTGTTATGCTGAGCGAAATAAGTCAATCAGAGAAAGACATGTATCATATGACCTCACTGATCTGAGGAATTCTTAATCTCAGGAAACAAACTGAGGGTTGCTGGAGTGGTGGCGGGTGGGAGGGATGGGGTGGCTGGGTGATAGACATTGGGGAGGGTATGTGCTATGGTGAGCACTGTGAATTGTGGAAGACTGCTGAATCACAGATCTGTACCTCTGAAACAAATAATACAATATACGTTAAAAAAAAAGAAGATAGCAGGAGAAGAATGAAGGGGGGAAATGGGAGGGGGAGACGAACCATGAGAGACAATGGACTCTGAAAAACTGAGCGTTCTGGGGGGGGGGGGCGTGGGAGGATGGGTTAGCCTGGTGATGGGTATTAAAGACGGCACGTTCTGCGTGGAGCACTGGGTGTTATATGCAAACAATGAATCATGGAACATTACATCAAAAACTAATGATGTGGGGCGCCTGGGTGGCTCAGTCGTTAAGCGTCTGCTTTTGGCTCAGGTCATGATCCCAGGGTTCTGGAATCGAGCCCTGCATCAGGCTCCCTGCTCAGTGGGAAGCCTGCTTCTCCCTCTCCCACTCCCCCTGCTTGTGTTCCCTCACTCACTGTCTCTCTCTCTGTCAAATAAATAAATGAAATCTTTAAAAAAAACCCAAAAACTAATGATGTAATGTATGGTGATTAACATAATAAAAGATTTTTTTAAAAAAAGAAAAAGCATTTGATAAAATTGAACATCCAGTGATAAAAAACCAAAAAGAAAAAAAAGTAAAAAATCAGGAACAGGGCGCCTGGGTGGCTCAGTCGTTAAGCGTCTGCCTTTGGCTCAGGTCATGATCCCAGACTCCCTGGGATGGAGTCCCACATCGGGCTCCCTGCTCGTCAGGAAGCCTGCTTCTCCCTCTCCCACTCCCCCTGCTTGTGCTCTCTCTCTCTGACAAATAAATAAATAAATCTTTAAAAAATTAAAGTCTTAAAGATGTATTAGTGCTAATAAGTTATTATTTATGATAGTATCAAAAATCTAGGAATAAATACAACATATGGGCAAAACCTTTAAAACTATATAACTTATTGAAAGCCTTTAAAACTGTAAAACTTATTGAAAGGCATTAAAGAAGACCTAGGTAAATGGAGAACTACACCATTTCCATGGACAAGAAGACTCATAAAAATGCAAGTTCTTTTTGAACTGAACTACATATTCAAAACAATTCCAATTAAAATCCCAACAAAATCTGGCACTTGCCAAGTGGATTCTAAAATTTAGGTAGAAGAATAAAGAACCAAAACAAGACAAAATAAAAACCAGATATAGGAGAGACCAGAAATAGGTACATTCACATTCATCACTACAAACATGGAAACAGGTAAATTAAATACTAGAATGTGAATGACAAAATTATAAAACTTTTAGAACATAGTATAGGAGAATACTTCTGTTACTCCAGGAAAGTACATCTTTTTTTTTTTTTTTTTTTAAGTAGGCTCCACACCCAGCATCAAGCCCAATGTGGGGCTTGAACTCATAACCCTGAGATCAAGACCTGAGCTGAGATCAAGAGTTGAACGCTCAACCAACCAAGAGGCACCCTTCTAGGAAAGTATATCTTAAATAAGATAAAAAAGTGGAAGCCATAAAGGATCAGATTGATTAATGTGATTTCATTAGAATTATAAATTTCATTAAAAAGTATCAAAAGCTGGGGTGCCTGGGTGACTTAATCATTAAGCATCTGCCTTCACCTCAGGTCATGATCCCGGGGTCCTGGGATTGAGCCCCATATCAGGCTCCCTGCTCAGCAGGAAACCTGCTTCTCCCTCTCCCATTCCCCCTGCTTATGTTCCCTCTCTCGTTGTGTCTCTCTCTGTCAGATAAATAAATAAAATCTTTAAAAAAAAAAGTATCAAAAAGCTAATACACAAGCCACAAACTGGGATGCATATAACCAACACAGGATTAGTAAATATACAGAATTTGTACAAATCAGTAAAAGGACAACCAACACAACAGAGAAATGAGCAAAAGGTTTTAAGGCAAATTTCTAAGACAAGGAAACTAAATGGCCAATAAATTCATGAAAAGATGCTTAATTTCATCATTAATAGGGAAGTGAATTTTTTTTTTTTTTAAGATTTTATTTATTTATTTGACAGAGAGAGAGATAGCGAGAGCAGGAACACAAGCAGGGGGAATGGGAGAGAGAGAAGCAGGCTTCCTGCCGAGCAGGGAGCCTGATGTGGGACTCGATCCCAGGACACTGGGATCATGACCTGAGCCGAAGGCAGACACTTAACAACTGAGCCACCCAGGCGCCCATAGAGAAGTGAAATTTAAAACCACATAGAGATACTATTTTATGTACTATTTCCACCAGGTTGGAATCAATTAAGTCTGCCAAAACCAAGTGTCAAAACCAAGTTTTAAGTAGGATGTAGAGAAAGAACTCCAGAGAAAGAACTCCAAACAACACTGCTTGTGGAATTGAAAACCAGTGTAACTACTTTTGAAAATAATTTGGTATTAGAGTAGTGTTGAGCATTTACATGCCTATGACTCAGCAATTTTACATTTAGTATCTACCCTAGAAAATTCTTGCCTGTATACACGAGGACACAAGGACAAACATGTTCACAGAAGTGCTGTCTGAACATTAAAACTGGAAAACAAACCTAATGTTCATCACTGGTAGGATGCTTAAGTAAACTGGTACTCTCATAGAGTAGAAAACTCCACAGGAGTGAAAACGAAAGAATTACAGTTATATGAAAAAAGAGAAAACTCATGAACATGAACATAATGTTGAGTGGAAAAAGTCACAAAAGGATATATGCACTATGATTCAATTCGTGTAAATTTCAAAGACATGCAAAACTAAATAATATGTTATTTGAGATTACAAACATATATAGTAAAATGATAAAAGCAAGGAAAGACTGAACCAAAATTCAGGATACTAGTTACCTCTTAATGAGTGAGGGAAGGGAATGGGATTAGGGAACGATACACAGGACACTTCAAAGGTAATGGTAATATTCTTACACTGGGTGATAAGCATGTGAGTGTTCCCTGTATGGTTAGTCTTTGAACCTTATATATACTATAGATTCCATTTTATCTACTCAATATATAATTAAAGACAACTTTAAAAATGAATTTGTTGGCCCAAGAGTTTTTCCAATTATAAAGACAATGAGAATATATATAAAGATTTTATTTACTTATTTTGTCAGAGAGAGAGAGAGCACAAGCAGGGGGAGTGACAGGCAGAGGGAGAAGCAGGCTCCCTGCTGAGCAAGGAGCCTGATGTGGGACCTGGTCCCACGACCTAAGCAGAAGGCAGATGCTTAACTGACTGAGCTACCCAGGCATCCCGAGACAATGAGAATATTAAAAACAAGGGGGAAAAGTCCCCTGGGGAATAAAACAATAAAAGAATGCCAAACAAGAGCTTTTTCTTACTAAATACCCACCTGTGGCACACAAAAAACAGTTCTTTTTCTTTTTTCCTGCTTTGCAAACGTTGACAATACTCAGCAGGCGTTCATCATTTGGTGTAAAAATGTCTCTTTGTAATGCATGCTTGATTGCTGTCATTCTTAATCAGCTGAAAAAAATGGAGAGTATAGATATTAAGCTCATTCTCAAAATCATTCTATCTCATATTGTTTCATTTATGATTTTAAAAATTATCTTATTTATGGCTAATAAGCATAGGAAGAATGATTTCATATATCAACACATCAACTTCATGAAAATAAAAAGTCATATGATTGGAAAAGAAATTAGAGAACGAACGTTATCAAACTCTAAAATCTCTGGAAGTGCTTACCAAATATTATGATATGAAAAAAAATAAAAACCCATGCTCAATCTTTAAATATAAATTTCCTATATAAGGAGCTCTTACAACTCAACAATAAAAAAACAAATAACACAATTAAAAACTGAGCAAAGGATTTGAATAGACATTTCTCCAAAGAAAATATACAAATGGCCAATAAGCACACGAAAAGATGCTCAACATCATTAACCACTAGGGAAATGCAAACCAAAACCAAATGTGCTAACTATCACTTTACACTCACTAGAATGACTAACATTAAAAAGACAAGTGTTGGTAAAGATGTGGAGAAAAAGAACTCTTTCATACATGGTTGGTGATTGTAAAATGGTGCAGCTACTTTGGAAAAACAGTTTGACAGTTCCTCAAAAACTTAAATATGAAATTACCATATGACCCACCAATTCCATTCCTAGATACATACTCAAGAGAACTCAAAATATATGTCCACACAAAAACTTGTACATAAATGTTCATAGCAGCATTATTGACGATAGCCAAAAAAACAGAAACAACTCAAATATCCACCAATTAATGAACTGATACAACAAAACGAAGTACATCTATACTGTGGAGTATTATTTGGCCATAAAAAAGGAACGAAGTACTGATATATGCTACAACATTGATGAAACTTGAAAACATTATGCTAAGTGAAAGAAGCCAGTTAAAAGACCACATATGTTATGATTCTGCTTACATGAAATGTCCAGAGTAGACAAATGCATAAAGACAAAATGATTTGTGGCTGCCAGGGGCTAGGGGCAAGAAAGACTGTTAATGGGTATGGGGTTTCTTTTGGGGTGATGAAAATGCCCTTGAATTTGATAGTAGTGATGGTTGTGTAACCTTGTGAATATACTAAAGACTACTGAATTATACACTTGAGAGGGTGAATTTTATAGTATACAAATTATATCTCAATAAAGCTATTATAAAGAGGTTTCCACTTATCTCCTTTTTCTCACTAAATTCAATGTCTTTTTTCAAATACCAACTTAAGTTAAATACTTTTTAAAATCTCTTTTCAACTTTATTTTTAAATATATATATTTGTATGTATGTATATTACTATTTTCCAGTGCAAATGTGTGGTATTTCATACATGTGAACTTGCTTAGGAAATTAACTTCTAACACTCTTTCTATGGGAAAATTAAGAAACTATGAATTTCAAATAAATGACATAGAATAAATTTTTATAATACATTGACACTTTTGGAAACCAGGGATCTCTTATATTTTACTCAATCTGTGAAATTTTGATCTCTGCTCCAAGTCAAAAAATTGCTTTTCTCACAAAAAATCACATCTTCCCACTTCCATTCCTTTTCCACCTCATCTTAGCCTCTAGTCTTCTGACCTCCCCCTCCTTCCTGTTCTCATTATCTATCTGGCTTCTCCAAGCTTAATTTCTTTTCCAACCTAGCCTGGAGGCAGTGTTCACCCACACGCTCCTTCAATTATCTTACTGTTTGTAGACTTGTTCACCATGTTTTATCAATCTCCATGAACTGTATTTTTCCCCACTTCTTATGGGCTACTATATACCACTTAAGAAGGCCATGTATCTATGTTCACTGCATTCATTACAAATAGCTAAATCTGTTCAAAGCTAGACTTCCACTGTTGCTCAGCAACCCTTTAACATTTCCTTTGATGACTCCTCTTCCTATTCCCCATCAGTGTGTTGCAAATCTTATTTATCTTCTTCAATCCCCAACGCTAGTGTCAGCAAATGATGTCACCATCTATGCGGCAGAAGATTTAGAAGCCATGGAGTACAGTCTTTCCCAGTTGCTTTCTTCTCCATCTCTTTACATCTTCACCCATCCTAACATCCTTTCCACCTATTGCAAAATTTTGTGCCCATGTTCCTAATCACTTAGTATGTTCCAGGGCCTAGACACTGATTTAAAAGCTTTACTCCACCCTACGATCAAGCTACACTGGATAATGGCCACTTTACTTCTCTATCTCTGGGCTTTGTTCATGCAATTTCCTTTTCCTGTAATTCTTTTCCTCCTAGGAAATTCCAACTCATTCTTCAGGATCCTGCTAAAATGTCACCTCTTCTGTGAAGTAGTCACACACACACAAAGAATAATTCTTTTACACTTCTCAAACATACCCTCTACTCTGCTAACATAGCACTTACAAACCCTATTTTCTAGTTAGTTGTAGTCTTTCTCCCATTAAAAGTAGCTCTTTGTAGGAAAGGATCATACCTTCTTCATCTTTGTATTCCTAGAACTTGGCAAAGACATAGCAGGCATTTCAAAATTAAGCAAAATGATAGCACCAAATGACATGACAACTATAGTTTCCCTGATTCCCCTTTCCAACTCTCTCATCTGTAAGCAAATGTCTGGGTTCAAAATCAGTCATATTTGATTCTCCTCCTCCATTGTCAACATGAAATCTGCTGCCACATTCTTCTGATTTCCCCTCATCTACATATAATTTACCCTTCCTTTCTGTCCCCACTGCTAACACACTAATCCAGGTTCACATCAACTACATCCATTATTTCAGTATCTAGTTATCTCTTTTCAAGTTTCCACAATCCCCAAACCCTGGATAAACAAATAATATTAAAACATAGCTTTCATCACCACATGCTCCTGCTCAACATTTTCCTAAGTTTCCCAAATACAGATCTTCCAGTCCAAGCCCTCTTCTAGGTGCAGTCTTTGCATCTTTGCTTAGTGCTTTTCCATGCAGGGAGTATCATCTATCCAAACCCTAATTACACTTCATGGTTTATGAGAATTGATTCAATAATGATCTTAATCCAAACTGATCTCTCCTCTCAATTGCTAGAGCACTATTTGTATTTCCCACAAAATCAAGCACTTGCTGTCCAATTGGTTATCATAAGCTTGTAGATCTCAAGAACTTGCTTGAAAGAGGGAGAGAGAGGAAAAGATGCTCCAGCATAGTTCTGTGTTCTTTCTTAGCAGGTACTCAGCAAATACCTCTTGAGATCACCTGAACTGAATAGTAAAAACTGGTCAAATGAGTAATAGTGGCCAACCTTTACCACACAGTCCCTCTTTGGTCGAAAGCAACAATGAGTGTATGGGAAGTGTAAAGCAAGAGAGGACTGGTTATACCTCATAAAGGAGTTAGGCACAATGGAAAGCACTATGTGACCCTTATTCATTCAGCAAATACTGATGCCTACTAAGTGCCATGCACTATACTACATTAGAGATGAATATGACGGGCATGTTCAGGAAGACAAGAACATCGTGCCTCAGTGGCATTTACATTCTAAGGGTTGAGTCTTTAGAGTACTTTTGTTTAAGTCAGTGAATAAATCACTAGAGATCCTCTAAAACTATTTTCCAGGTTTAAGAATCCATGTCTGACCACGTTCCAGAAGTAGTCAGCCACTGTTTTCTGTACTGGTTCTTGTTACCTTAAACTCAGTTGGACCATTACACTGCGTGACAAAGAGCTTGTCATTGTGAGAGTCCGCATGGGTTGGGCCCTATATGCTATCGAGGCAACTCAGCAAGTGGAGCATTGTCAACCACAAGAGAAAACTGTGCACAGAGACAGGGGAATGCGCTTCAGAGATCTAGAAGAAAATGTGGATTTGGACAAAGAAGGCACTGTCACGTCCTCCTCTCCTGGTCCACGCCAAAGAGCAAATGACCAGGGCCATTTTGCACCAATGCAATCTGGTTCTTATGGGTGAAACCGGGAAGGGACGCGTCAGAATTGGTCTCCCAGCCCCTAGAGCAACGAGGAATTGGTGGATGCTCCCAGCGGCCTCTGCGCCTTACCCAGACAGGCGGGGAAAGGAAGGGAGGCCAGGCGGCGGAGAGACAGGTACCCGACCCCGGACGCGGAGCCAGCAGCGGGACTGAAGCGCCGCCTCAGACCTTGGCGCCCGCCTGTCTGCTCATCTGCCCACCGCCGCCGGAACTACTGGGCAGCCACGACCCAAGGCTTACCGCAAGGCCGGACCGAGCCCGGCTGTGCCGAGGCGGGTCCTCCAAGACAGAGACCGGACAAGGCCGGGACGGCCACCGCTACTAGGACGAGCTCAATTGAGCCGTTCAGCCACCACTTCCCATTTCCGGGCACGTGACAAACTCCACGCCGGAAGTCGACCCCGTAGAAAAGGAAGGAGAGGAGGTGATGGGCGTGGCGAAGCGGGCTAGGTCCCGCCTGAGGGGCGTGTCAAGGATAGGCAGGGGCGGGGCCTCCGTCGCTCGGAGACTGACTTGGCATCCGGGAATTTGGTGTTGCATGCTATTACTTTCCTAAGAAGAGTCATTTATTGAGATATTTTCCGCAATTTCCTTTAATAAACTATCCGATTTCGGCGCCAGGGCGGCTCAGACGGTTAAACATCTGCCTTCTGCTTAGGTCATGATCCCAGAGTTCTGGGATCGAGCCCCGCATTGGGCTCTTGGCTCAGCGGGGAGCCTGCTTCTCCCTCTCCTGCCTCTCCCCCTGCTCATGTTCTCTCTCTCTGTATATATCTCTCTCAAATGAATAAAATAAAATAAAATAAAATAAATCTTTAAAAAAAAAGAAACTATCCGATTGTTTTCTTTTTTTGTATATGTAAAGGTCTGTTAACCCTAGGTCCTTGCTACTTATAGCATGGGGAGTTTAAATAACTTAAATCAGAATTACTGAGGGGCGGGACTCAACTTCAGTACTCTCAATATCTTCCGAGAAGATCCTAAAATGCAGCTCAGGTGGAGAACCATTGATGTAGTGACCTTGACAGTCAAAGTGTGGTCCTGAGACCAGATGCTGGGCATGGGGGGGGGGGGGGGGAGGGGTTTAGATACTGCAGACTCTCTGGCTCACTTCAGATCTATTGAATCCGAATCTGCATCTTAACAAAATGACACCTATGCACATTTAGTTTGAGAAGCACAGATGATGCCAAGTTTGCTGGTTGCAAGACAGATAATTCATATTCCATATTCCTGACGCTGGTTTTATGCCAGGTACCTTCACCCAGGTGCAGAGGTGATTCAGACATAAATCTTACCCTGACAAGTTCGCAGGTTGGTAGGTACAAATACATATAAAATAAGATACAAAATAAGGGACCAAAGAAATGTACAGGTCAGTTAAGTGTGCTGGGAATTCAAAGGTGTGACTTCTTTGCTCCTGCTCAACACAGCCCTTTGCAGATGTTCTGCAGGAATCCATTCAAATGTGCATTCATTTATTTGACAAATGGTGCCACCTCTATACTAGGCATTGTGTCAGGTGCTGGAGATACAAAGGCAGGGATCCCATTCAGAAGAGGGCACACTCTCATTGGGGAAAGAGAATGAAATACAGGGATAAATTATAGTTTGGTGAGGTATATCCAACAACAAAGGTAGACAAAAGAGACTACCATGGGACTGCAAAAGAAGAAGTGACTCATTCTGTCAGGGATGGGAGAGAAAAATAAGCTCTGTAAAGTATCTTTCAGTGTTTATCTGAATATATAATTTGTTGGAAAAAGTCAGAATTAATAAGGACCTACTTGCTACTGAGATTAATATGCTCTAGTTAATGCTATTTGGAATGCTTTTCAATTTCATTAAATGATTTTCCTTTTAAGAGCTGGATCTGTATCTAGTCCTATCTTTATTTATTATTTTTTTTAAAGATTTTATTTATTTATTTGACAGAGAGAGACAGAGCGAGAGAGGGAACACAAGCAGGGGGAGTGGGAGAGGGAGAAGCAGGCTTCCTGCCTCACAGGGAGCCTGATGTGGGGCTTGATCCCAGGACACTGGGATCATGACCTGAGCCGAAGGCAGATGCTTAACGACTGAGCCACCCAGGCGCCCCTAGTCCTATCTTTAAGAAGACCCATTTGGCCCTTCGTGCTCAGACTAGAACTCTTACTGTCGACGCTATTTATGTGACAATTGCATGTGCTATTTTGTCCTATTATGCTTTTTTTTTTTTCTTTTTAACAACTGTATGTTTGTGGCCCTCTTCAAAGCTGTGAAGTGAACAGCATTTCAGAAGTCTGGACTTCTTCCTTAAACTCCAGATTTGTGTATAGACTGCCTCCCCAACATTTCCACTTGCGTGTCTTGTCAGGCATCTCAACCTTATAGGTCCAAAATTAAATTCTTCTCTCCCCTCTCCCCTCTTGGGTTTCCCCAGAGTAGAGGCTGAAACAAAGGCTTATGTACAGTAGTTTATTTGGGGTTTTGACCCCAGGGAGCAAGAGTAGGAGAAGGGGGAGGAAAAGTAAAATAAGGAAGTGGGAGAGGCAATATAATGATGTTTTATTTCATTGGTCATCACCACATTTGAATGCTCTCTTGATCTCTTAAGACCTTCTGAGAAGTTTCATGAGATGTCTCAAAACTGCCCACTAAAGGCAAGAACGAAGCCCAAGGTGACCAAGTAATAGAGTTTCAAGTTCACTGAATTCCATGCTGTGTATTCTGGTGGAAATATCCCTCCACCCAACCCCTGGAGAACTAATTATTATTATCTAGCAAACCCCAAATTTGAGAGTCAGGAAACATAAATCTATAAGTGAGTCATTGATAAGATGGGCCAATCCTTCTCCAATTCCTGGGTTTCTGGAGCCATGTCTTTAACTGTTCAGGGATACTCTTTATTGGTTGGTTTTGAGCATTTACCACATCTTGTAGGACAACACCTCAATCCCAAGAGGCACATTAACTGGGTTTGTAGCAAGCCACTCCACTATTTTTATGAGCCTGGCTGCTTCCGCGTGATGAGGAATATTTCAATATCAGTGGATTCCATGGTGATGTGTATAATTGTCACTTTGTGGTTGGTTTGGTTTTTAGCTGTGAAATGGATTCCTTGGTTGAGATAATGTTGATCACGAATGTTATAATTCTGGTGATCATGGATGTTGGCAGAGGCACTGCGGGCAAGACAGAAAAACCTAGACATCTGTAAAGATTTTTTTTCAGGCCACTTCTCTCTATAAAGCAATCTAGGAAGAATACTCCTCCAAGCTCTGCCAGCTGGGAAGATTCCCCTTCACCTTTGTTCTTTAGATCCATCCTTGCGTGGAGCTATTGTGCAAGAGCAGTCCAGTTTTGCCTGCCTACCAACGTAATATGTCAACTCATCTGCGAACCAGGTTTAAATTTTTCATTCTGTGTTAGGTGGTCATGGGGACCTCGCAAAAGGCTGTAGGAGTGAGTTGATGAACAGATGTCCGTGCTGTAGAAGTAAGTGCCAGGAATCGGATTCACCCACAAGTTTACTTGTGTCTGCTGGATGTGCTCAGCCTCAATCCTATACCATTTCCATACTTCATACATTCCTGCTGTATCCGTGTGCTTATGACTTGAAGGATCTGATCCTGTGCGGCCCACGATAAATAGCTCTAGTTTTCCCAGTGACTAGTTCTCTGACTCAGAAGGCGTGGCCTTGCAGAACATGAGGGACCTGAACTGCAACTCTCTTACTGGGGGCTTTCCAGAAATGCCAAAGTGTTTTTTATCTATCATAGATCCCTCTAGCACCATTAGATCTGCTCAGACAAATGGCCTGAGCGTTAAGTAACTTGCATTAGAGCCCTTGTGGGAACATATCCAAGCGATGGGTACTTGGTTTCACAAGTTCACTCCAACATCCGGACTTCTGAGAAACACATTCTGGTGGTGGTTCTTTAGTCTCACGTGATAAATTCATTCTTTTTTTTTTTAAGATTCTATTTATTTATTTATTTATTTGAGAGAGAGAGAGAGAGAGAGCACACAAGCAGCTGGAGGCACAGAGGGAGAGGGAGAAACAGACTCCCCGCCGAGCAGGGCGCCCGATGAGGGGCTTGATCCCAGGACCCTGGGCTCATGACCTGAGCCGAAGGCAGACACTTAATTGACTGAGCCACCCAGGCGCCTTGGTAAATTAATTCTAACATTCTTGTTTCTGTCTTCTGATTCCTTTTTCAATACTCATTCAGAATTATTCTAACATCTCATTTAGCACAGGCCACCATCATATCCAAGTTTTAAGGAGATATCAAGGTCTTGTATTAGAACTGACTCTAGATGTCATTGCCAAAACATTAAATCCAGAATCACAGGCGAATGGCCCCAGGATATAAATTCTCCCCTGGACAGCCTTATAACCTGATCCCTCTGGTTTAACACTCTAAATATTCACTCTCACAGATATTCCCCTGGTTCATATTGGTATGTTGTAGCAGTCTTGAAATTCCTTATCAGTTAGTCTCGTTCAGTAGCCCATACCAGGGGTGATCTTGACACCTAAGGGACATTTAGTAATGGCTGGAGACACTTTTGGTTGTCATTGTTAGAGGGGTTCTACTAGAATCTAGTGGTAGATGCCAGGGATGCTATTAACAACCTACAATACATAGGACAGCCCTCCACAACAAAGAATTATCCAGCCCAAATATCACAAGTGCTGAGATTGAGAAATCCTGGTCTAGTTAACTTTAGGGCAAGGATTGCAATCCCCCACAGAGGTTGTGCTGAGATCTGACTGTGGTTATAGGCTTGAGGTAATGAGAGTAATAGGGGTGGATATTGAGGGAAATAAGATTATATTAGGAGGCGCTTGCCTCAGATATATTCTTTGCAGAATATCTGGACAAGGAGAGGTTGCTTTCCTTTATCAGGAGGAAAGAGACTGTTGGCACAGAGGATAACAAAAAATCTGAAGGCTTAGGAGTATAAGGCATGTCTACACAAATGTCCCCATTCTGGATCTCAAGGTCCCATTATTTTCCTATTAGGGACCTGGCTTTGACATGGGTGATGTTTCAAGGCTGTGCATTCAGACTTCTTTGTAGCTCTGCCACCCTTATGATTATATGTTGGAGCTGATTTTTAGCACAGTCTGCTCTGTGGCTACACGGCCCTAGAGGCCTTATAGCTTTCACAGTGTGCCACGATGGACTGAACACAACCTGTCATTTTCTTTTGTTAAGACCTCCAAAGCAGGGCGCCTGGGTGGCTCAGTTGGTTAAGCGACTGCCTTTGGCTCAGGTCATGATCCTGGAGTCCCGGGATCGAGTCCTGCATCAGGCTCCCTGCTCGACAGGGAGCCTGCTTCTGCCTCTGACCCTCCCCCCTCTCATGTGCTCTCTCTCTCTCATTCTTTCTGTCTCAAATAA